ATTGTATTGAGAATGCTGCTGGACAGGTTGTAAAAAGTAAACAGATCCCTGATGATTGTATTGAGAATGCTGCTGGAGAGGTTGTAAAAAGTAAACAGAACCCTGGTGATTGTATTGAGAATGCTGCTGGAGAGGTTGTAAAAAGTAAACAGAACCCTGATGATTGTATTGAGAATGCTGCTGGAGAGGTTGTAAAAAGTAAACAGAACCCTGATGATTGTATTGAGAATGCTGCTGGAGAGGTTGTAAAAAGTAAACAGAACCCTGATGATTGTATTGAGAATGCTGCTGGAGAGGTTGTAAAAAGTAAACAGAACCCTGATGATTGTATTGAGAATGCTGCTGGAGAGGTTGTAAAAAGTAAACAGAACCCTGAGGATTGTATTGAGAATGCTGCTGGAGAGGTTGTAAAAAGTAAACAGATCCCTGATGATTGTATTGAGAATGCTGCTGGAGAGGTTGTAAAAAGTAAACAGAACCCTGATGATTGTATTGAGAATGCTGCTGGAGAGGTTGTAAAAAGTAAACAGAACCCTGATGATTGTATTGAGAATGCTGCTGGAGAGGTTGTAAAAAGTAAACAGATCCCTGATGATTGTATTGAGAATGCTGCTGGAGAGGTTGTAAAAAGTAAACAGAACCCTGATGATTGTATTGAGAATGCTGCTGGAGAGGTTGTAAAAAGTAAACAGATCCCTGATGATTGTATTGAGAATGCTGCTGGAGAGGTTGTAAAAAGTAAACAGAACCCTGATGATTGTATTGAGAATGCTGCTGGAGAGGTTGTAAAAAGTAAACAGAACCCTGATGATTGTATTGAGAATGCTGCTGGAGAGGTTGTGAAAAGTAAACAGAACCCTGATGATTGTATTGAGAATGCTGCTGGAGAGGTTGTAAAAAGTAAACAGAACCCTGAGGATTGTATTGAGAATGCTGCTGGAGAGGTTGTAAAAAGTAAACAGATCCCTGATGATTGTATTGAGAATGCTGCTGGAGAGGTTGTGAAAAGTAAACAGAACCCTGATGATTGTATTGAGAATGCTGCTGGAGAGGTTGTAAAAAGTAAACAGAACCCTGATGATTGTATTGAGAATGCTGCTGGAGAGATTGTAAAAAGTAAACAGAACCCTGATGATTGTATAAACAGAACCCTGAGAATGCTGCTGGAGAGGTTGTAAAAAGTAAACCCTGATTATAATATTCGATTTACTTCCTGATATTTCCTGGATAGAAATGATTGTATATTGAGAATGCTGCTGGATAGGTTTAGAATAAACTAATGATGATTGGAGAATGCTGCTGGAGAGGTTGTAAAAAGTAAACAGAACCCTGATGATTGTATTGAGAATGCTGCTGGAGAGGTTGTAAAAAGTAAACAGATTACCTAATTTGTGATTTTTCTGTGATTTGTGCTGCTGGATGATAAATTGTTCATTGAGAATGCTGCTTGTAAAAAGTGGAGAGAAAAAGTTGTAAAAAATATATATTTATACAGATTTAAAACCCTGTTTAATTATCTAAGAGATTGTAGAAGTTAAATTTGTTTTATAATTTAAAAGAAAGTTGAAAGTGATTATGACGTCTGCTGGAGAGGTTGTCCTCCCCCACCGCACGGAAAAAGTCAAGCTTGGAAACAGACTTTTTTTTCTGCTTTGTAAAAAGTAAACAGATAAATTTCTGGGGTTTATTTTTTATTGATTGTGGAGAGGTTGTAAAAAGAAACAGAAGAATGCTGCTGGAGAGGTGTTGTAAAAAGATAATTTATTATGGTCTCTGGATCTTAATTTAATATTTTCTCCATGTATTGAAAATGTATATTCGTTTTTTATTAAGTGCATACAAATAACGCCTAAAATCTGAGATTGTAGAAAATTTTCTGCTGGACCATTTTGGTTGTTGTAGTCAAAAGTTATTTTTAACAGAGGAAAATGTTTTTCCCTGAGGAACCCAATAAATGTTTATTGAGAATGCTGCTGGAGCCAGCGTTTGTTTCTTTTATAAAATCAAAATTGAAATTACTTAGATAAAATTTATTTTTTCCCTTTTGTATTGAGAGCTGCTGGAGAGGTTGTAAAAAGTAATACAGAACTTTTTTTTGAGAATGCTGCTGGAAGCTTGTATCTTTTTTTTTGAGAATGCTGCTTCAGAAGTTCAGTTTAAATTTAAAAAAGAACCCTGATGATTGTATTGAGAATGCTGCTGGAGAGGTTGTGAAAAAATGATGGTAGCTATGCTGCTGGAGAGGTTGTAAAAAGTAAACAACCCTGATTGTGAAAAATAAACAGATGATGATTGTATTGAGAATGCTGCTGGAGAGGTTGTAAAAAGTAAACAGATCCCTGAGGATTGTACTGAGAATGTTGCTGGGGAGGTTGTAAAAAGTAAACAGAACCCTGATGATTGTATTGAGAATGCTGCTAGCGAGGTTGTGAAAATGAAACAGATCTTCGATGATTGTATTGAGAATGCTGCTGGAGGGGTTGTGAAAAGTAAACAGAACCCTGATGATGGTATTGAGAATGCTGCTGGAGAGGTTGTGAAAAGTAAACAGATCCCTGAGGATTGTATTGAGAATGCTGCTGGAGAGGTTGTAAAAAGTAAACAGATCCCTGAAGATTGTATTGAGAATGCTGCTGGAGAGGTTGTGAAAAGTAAACAGAACCCTGATGATTGTATTGAGAATGCTGCTGGAGAGGTTGTGAAAAGTAAACAGAACCCTGATGATTGTATTGAGAATGCTGCTGGAGAGGTTGTGAAAAGTAAACAGAACCCTGATGATTGTATCGGGAATGCTGCTGGAGTGGTTGTGAAAAGTAAACAGATCCCTGAAGATCGTATTGAGAATGCTGCTGGAGAGGTTGTGAAAAGTAAACAGAACCCTGATGATTGTATTGCAAATGCTGCTGGAGTGGTTGTAAAAAGTAAACAGATCCCTGAGGATTGTATTGAGAATGCTGCTGTAGAGGTTGTGAAAAGTAAACAGAACGCTGATGATCGTGATGAGAATGCTGCTGGAGAGGTTGTAAAAAGTAAACAGAACCCCGATGATTGTATTGAGAATGCTGCTGGAGAGGTTGTGAAAAGTAAACAGATCCCTAAGGATTGTATTGAGAATGCTGCTGGAGAGGTTATAAAAAGTAAACAGATCCCTGAGGATTGTATTGAGAATGTTGCTGAAAAGGTTGTAAAAAGTAAACAGAACGCCGAAGATCGTATTGAGAATGCTGCTGGAGAGGTTGTGAAAAGTAAACAGAACCCTGATGATTGTATTGAGAATGCTGCTGGAGAGGTTGTGAAAAGTAAACAGAACCCTGATGATTGTATTGAGAATGCTGCTGGAGAGGTTGTGAAAAGTAAACAGAACCCTGATGATTGTATTGAGAATGCTGCTGGAGTGGTTGTAAAAAGTAAACAGATCCCTGAGGATTGTATTGAGAATGCTGCTGTAGAGGTTGTAAAAAGTAAACAGAACCCTGATGATTGTATCGGGAATGCTGCTGGAGTGGTTGTGAAAAGTAAACAGATCCCTGATGATTGTATTGAGAATGCTGCTGGAGAGGTTGTAAAAAGTAAACAGATCCCTGAGGATTGTATTGAGAATGTTGCTGGAGAGGTTGTAAAAAGTAAACAGATCCCTAATGATTGTATTGAGAATGCTGCTAAATGGGTTGTAAAAAGTAAACAAAACCCTGATAATTGTATTGAGAATGCTGCTGGAGAGGTTGTAAAAAGTAAACAGATCCCTGAGGATTGTATTGAGAATGCTGCTGGAGAGGTTGTGAAAAGTAAACAGAACCCTGAGGATTGTATTGAGAATGCTGCTGGAGAGGTTGTGAAAAGTAAACAGATCCCTGATGATTGTATTGAGAATGCTGCTGGAGAGGTTGTAAAAAGTAAACAGATCCCTGATGATTGTATTGAGAATGCTGCTGGAGAGGTTGTAAAAAGTAAACAGATCCCTGATGATTGTATTGAGAATGCTGCTGGAGAGGTTGTAAAAAGTAAACAGAACCCCGATGATCGTATTGAGAATGCTGCTGGAGAGGTTGTGAAAAGTAAACAGAGTCCCGATGATTGTATTGAGAATGCTGCTGGAGAGGTTGTGAAAAGTAAACAGAACCCCGATGATTGTATTGATAATGCTGCTGGAGAGGTTGTGAAAAGTAAACAGAACCCCGATGATTGTATTGAGAATGCTGCTGGAGAGGTTGTAAAAAGTAAACAGATCCCTGAAGATTGTATTGAGAATGCTGCTGGAGAGGTTGTGAAAAGTAAACAGATCCCTGATCATTGTATTGAGAATGCTGCTGGAGAGGTTGTAAAAAGTAAACAGAACCCTGATGATTGTATTGAGAATGCTGCTGGAGAGGTTGTGAAAAGTAAACAGATCCCTGAAGATCGTATTGAGATTGCTGCTGGAGATGTTGTAAAAAGTAAACAGATCCCCGATGATTGTATTGCAAATGCTGCTGGAGTGGTTGTAAAAAGTAAACAGATCCCTGAGGATTGTATTGAGAATGCTGCTGGAGAGGTTGTGAAAAGTAAACAGATCCCTGATGATTGTATTGAGAATGCTGCTGGAGAGGTTGTGAAAAGTAAACAGAACCCTGATGATTGTATTGAGAATGCTGCTGGAGAGGTTGTAAAAAGTAAACAGAACCCTGATGATTGTATTGAGAATGCTGCTGGAGAGGTTGTGAAAAGTAAACAGAACCCTGATGATTGTATTGAGAATGCTGCTGGAGAGATTGTAAAAAGTAAACAGATCCCTGATGATTGTATTGAGAATGCTGCTGAGAGGTTGTGAAAAATAAACAGATCCCTGATGATTGTATTGAGAATGCTGCTGGAGAGGTTGTAAAAAGTAAACAGATCCCTGAGGATTGTACTGAGAATGTTGCTGGGGAGGTTGTAAAAAGTAAACAGAACCCTGATGATTGTATTGAGAATGCTGCTGGAGAGGTTGTAAAAAGTAGGATTTGTATTGAAAAGAGGTTGTAAAAAGTAAACAGATCCCTGATGATTGTATTGAGAATGCTGCTGGAGAGGTTGTAAAAAGTAAACAGATCCCTGAGGAATGGATTCAGAATGTTGCTGGAGAGGTTGTGAAAAGTAACCAGATCTGTTACCAGTCGTTACAGGGAGTTATAGACGTGACCCCGGCTGTGTGTCCTGTCTATCTACATCAACCAGGTGAGAATTACCTGCCAAAAATTCAGAGATCAAAGGTCATTATTTTAATGTAGATTATTCTTGATTATTGTGTATTATTTTTTATATTTTTATTTTTATATTTAGATATGACCGACTCCTTGATGAGTTTCTTCTTAGCCGTGTTTCAGGGACTTCGGGTTCAGATGGGCATGGTCTTCCCAGAGCAAACTAAACAGACATTTATGACCCTCTGTACACAGTGTGTATCTATATCATATATACCAAACATAGCCTAGTTTAAATTATCACAACTTCTATTTAGAAATATTTTGTTATATTTGTGTGGGTTTATGTGTAATTTCGTATGTTTTAATATTTATGTAATTTTATTTGAATGTTTCTTTTAAATGCCCTTTATTACTTAATGTTGTTCTGAATTGTGAGTAAATTATAAATCTTTCAGAAAGCAGATAGCAGAAAGTATATATCATGAAAGCGCAGCTGCCCATAGTGTTGTAGAGAAGTAAGAACACATTTATATATTAAAGTTTATAATATTATTAGAAACAAATCACAATATGAAGTCTTATGTAAGAATTTTTGTTTTGCAGGTTGTTTAAGATTTTTGAACTTGTACAAGAGTCTGGGATAGATTTCAAAGCATTTTTACCAAATTTTATAGTGATGTGTATGGATCAGATTTATCCAATAATAGCACAGGTAAACTATCTTTATAATGGGAAGAGAAAGGAGAAAATTTGTAATAGCCACAAATGTTTAATATTCATAAGAATCTTTATACTTTTCCTCATATCATTTACAAAGTCATCATTTGTAATACATGTACATGTGTAATTTTTATGTGTCTTCGTATCTTTTTCAACAATATCATGTTTCATTGTTACTGTTTAAAGTAATTTCAAAATTTGACTATATGAAAATTAGACGATTTTGGTTCATCTATGTTTTTTTCAAGTAATATGAGTTTTTATATTCAATATTCAGTATTTTAAAACTTCTTATTATAGCGTCCATCGCCTGACATTAAAGCTAGTCTGTATAGATTAGTCCATGAGTTAATGATGAACAACTGGAGATATTTCTTCAAGGGCAGTGTACTGAAAAAATTAAGTGTACAGCACACTCCTCAGAAAGAAAATGGAGAAATGCAGAGGGCACATGAGGTCAAAGGCAGTGCAATGAAGACATTAAGTGTACAGCACACTCCTCAGAATGAAAACAGAGAGATTCAGAAGGCACAGGAGGTCAAAGGCAGTGCACTGAAGACATTAAGTGTACAGCACACTCCTCAGAATGAAATCGGAGAGATTCAGGATGCACAAGAGTTTACTGCCATTATGCAGGTAAAGGAATTACAGGCTTCTTCATTTTTTACCTCTATTTGTCAGAGACCAGACGAGCTTGTGCTTTATTAGTACGGTATCCGTCGTCTGTTCTTTTGTCTGTCCATCTGTCTGTAAACAATGTGTTAGTGGGTTTAAGTGTTTTAAAATGTCCCTGGAATTATAATTCTTTCATTATTCTTTCAACCTGAAGAAAACCTGAATGCTCAGTTAAAGTTACTGTTTCTTCTTTTTTCTTTTTAGGAGGAAAAGGAAGAGAAGATGAAGCCGGTTCAATTGATGACAAAGCCTAAAAAATTAGGAGTATGTGTTTATAATATAGATACCTTAACTTTGTCAAGCTATAAATGATTAAAAATGTTAACATCGTCACATTCTAATTTGGAAAAAAGATTACTTTTCCCCCAAACTTTTGATGATTCCATAAAAAAAAATCGATGGAAACTTAAGAGAATTTAGAGTTTTTAGACACAAAAACCCTTCCAAAGGCAAAGAACTATTGCCATTTTCATTGTTGTCAGAAATCAAAGTCACAAAATTTCTCCCATAAATAACCAATTAAAGAAGTTGATATAAATAGAAACTTTCCATTATTAGCATTTCATACGAAAAAAGAAAAGTCTTTAGATATTACAAACTAAATACATTGTAGTCGTAAGTGCCTGTTTTAGATTGACCATCACATTATCATTTTAAAACCTGGATTGAAATTGATGTGTAATACATGATGCAACCATAGCTACCCTTAAGTTACATGTACTTAATCCAAAAACGATGTTCTCTTAACTGATTAGTCTCCATAATGAAAAGCATCATTTTGTGCATCTGTAATTAGTGGAAAATATGAGTCGGAATTAAATGCGTTTTATATCAAATTTTACCATTTTTCTACCTTTCAGAGAATGAAGATATTTAGAAAATTGATCTTTAGAACATTTAGCTGTGTAAAAGGAATGATGATAATTTTTTGTTTTCTACTTTTCAGAGAATGAGAAGAGTAGCACACTGGTTGAGAAAGAATTTTTTTAGTTGTGGTGGAGGAAAATCCAGTTCTTAAAGTAAGTTAATATTACCTTTTCTGTGGCTTTCTCAATCAATTATTTACTCTTTATCTGTTCTCATTCAAAAATTGATAGTTGGATAATTACTTGCCAATTACTCGGCATTCAAAAAAAGGCTAAGTAATAATATTTCATAAAATGTAGGTGTGACTATGCTCAAGAAATCTTAGAATTTCGACATTGTAATGGACAAAATATAAATTTTTAAAGCTATGTTGATTTTCATTGATAAATGAAAAGCTCGTTGTCTTCAACAATCCCTATTTACCAGCTTTATCTTCTTTGTGTGTGCCCCCTTTCTCTCTTTTATGCTTTAATTGTTTATGATACAGTTGTTTTCTTTTTCTTTTTCAGGTCTGAAAAAAGACGCCAAAACACCTTTATAAATTGTCATGTTTATTAAGTTAAAAATAATATATTTGGGACCCAGGAGGGGACACCCGAGCTATTTTTACAGGTTTTGATTTTTTACTTTCCCCATTTAAAAGCACGAAATTGTAAATTCATCCATTAAAGCTCCGTTGTCCTCTCCTGTCTAAATTCTTGTTAATATTTTTCAATAATCTATGTAAAGAAAAAAAGATGTTATTAAATGTAGTTGTGTAAAGTTTTGAATACAAAACAGTTGTATTATAAAACTATCGAGTTTTTTTTTCAATTTGTCTTCACTAATATATTTGAAATAGCTAGATCTAGCTTGTGTCAAATTTATTTGTAAATTCTTTTCAATACTTTCCCAATCAATGAGGCTCGTGATTTTAATCGGTTTCTGTGGTGCTAAGTGGATCAGAGTCTCTCTCTCTCTCTCTCTCTCTCTCTCTCTCTCTGTGTGTGTGTGTTTGTGTGTGTGTGTGTGTGTGTGTGTGTGTGTGTGTGTGTGTGTGTGTGTGAGACCCAAGTTCATTACTGGTAGACCAGACTAAGTTCATTACTGGTACATGTAGACAGACTCTCAGTATAAGCTGGACCCAAATGCAGCTGGATAGACATAATATAGACAATGCCGATGAAGTTCTTGTCTAAGGGCACAACACACTACAAAAAAATTCCACAGCATGGCTTGAACCAGCGATTGCAACCTTTTGGTTACACAACAACCGGTTTTCTACAATAAATGAACTACAGTTTACTGCTCACATTCTTTCCGGGAAAGAATATTTATATAACTACTGCACAGTATTTTCTTCGCCGCGGTTTTTTCATTTTGTTCCCAAGGCATCTCATACATAACAGTGCTCCTCTTTCCAAATAACTGGAACATTGCGTGTCCTGTGCGATATTCTGGACCGTTAACATTATAGTCAATTGATTCCCAGCAATCATAAACAGTTTTATTTGTTAAAAGTGATTAGTGTCTTTTATCACCAATACCACAATACAGAGGCTAAAATCATGGTGCATTTAGAAAGGCATTGTTGTAATACACATATGTTATATACACATATATTGCATGTTTGTCTGATGACAAACTTGACAGACAAATAGGCGATTTTTTGTTTTTTTAAATGAACACAGATAAGTTATGCAATGTTATATATATGTATATATTTATTTTTTTTTAAATTAAAATGATCATTAATTGTCCCCCTCCTTTTGTGAAAGCGAGGGACATGAAATCTTAATCGTCTGTCCGTCTATTAGTCTATCCGTCTATCACAAAAACTTGAATCTATGTAATATATTTTGAATGAGAAGTTTGACCTACTTTTCAAAAATTCAAACATTACGTTGAAGTGGCCATAACGTTTGAATGAGGGAGGACTTCTCATTCCATTTTTTATTACATGTGTCAAGACTTTTCTGAATACAGTCTATGCTTTTTACCTCGTGACCTTGAAGTTTGCCTTACTTTCAGAAACTTAAACTTTGGCCAAAGATAGTACTTTCTCATTTCACATTATATTTCCTGTGACAAGACCTTTCAAAATACATTTTGATTTTTGACCCTGTGACCTTGAACTAGGGATGGACAATGTAATCCTTAATCTTTTGATCGAGAAGGGATGGATTTGGTTAGCAAATGTAATCGGTTAGTCGTATATGTTTGAGCGCAGTTTCCTTAGTTCCCTGTATTTTTTTTAGAAAGGAGAGCCTGTCTATACATAAACTTTGGAGGTAATTAAATGTAAATAGCTCTCCAGGTTGAAAACTGTATATTTTTAATGTTTTTATGATAATTTTTACACTTATTTATAGTATTCTATATTTTGCCTTAAAAAATTATATTATTATAAGAAACATCGCGTTGTTAATTGTGAATAAAACAGTTACGTTTCTGAAGGTGACAACGCCTTTAACATAAAAATTATTTGTCTGATTTCTCAAGCAAGAATTATGGTTTTCTTAATTTTTTTCTTGTCTATTGAAATTAAAATGAAATATACTCTTATGCATAAAATTTTATTAATAAACAGAATACTTGTAACACCTTTTTAGCCTTTATGTGTACAAAAAAGAAAATGTCAAAATGTATATCTTTACGACTAACCGGTTAATCGGTCGATACGTCTTGATTGAACCCTAATGTTTGACCTCTTTTCAAGAATGTTAACATAATTTTCCTTATAACTTTTGATTGAGAAGGGATGGGGCTTTCATATTTGACATGTACCTTACCTGTGACAAAATAACATGCTGAGAGCTGCAGATCTGTACTCTCCGAAAAAATATATTGATAGACCGGAGAGCTACAGTGTCAAACATTGAAAAAACTGTATATTTATTGCGCACAAAAAAGTGTGCTCGGTTCTTAATTAATTATTTCAAATTATTTATTATTTTGAGAGAAAGATTACAGTTTTAAAAACATGGAGAAATAAAACGAGAAAAAGCGCACTTTTTGTGTGCAGTTTTTATAAAGGGTGGCACTGTAGCTCTCCGGTCTATCAATGTCTTTTTTCGGAGAGCTCTTGATCTGCAGCTAGCTAAGATTTCTGACCCCTTGACCTTTTACCTTCAATTTGACCTAGTTTTTGTAATTCAAACATTAACGTTGGTGATAACGTTTGAATGACATATAGTAAGGTGTTCATATTTAACACATTATGACGTAAAGGTAAATGTCATATAAATTCATACATTCTGTGTGTGTAAAACTTTTATTTCCGGGTGATATCTCAAGAAGCATTTGAGTTTTTGCAATTAAATTTTATACCAAATATTTTTTGTCCCCAACAAGCGTGATATTGTCCACCAAAAGACATTTCCAAGAGTGAACATGTATCCACATAATATATACTTGTATAGACATTGAACATATCTTCAGAAGTTTAGCGCTTTCCACATTATACGTCTTAGTATAGGTTAAATTGGATATAAGTGGTGTTTGGAAGAAATTTTTTGACATATATATGACATATTGTATTATATAAATAGACATTTCCTTTTTTTTTTTTTTTTTGCTTGTCAGAGGAATTCATATAAGGACATATATATGACATATTGTATTATATAAGGAGAGGAATTCACTAAGTTTTTTGGAACTTGTTTCCAATCCTTTTGATTGATCATATCAATATACTTTGTTCAAAACAACCAGAACTATTTATAGCCCCACCCACCCTTCTTTATGTGCCCCCTTTGGCCCAACTTCCCTAGAATATTAAAGGGGCATATTCTCTGCATAAGCTTGTTGTTATAACTATTTATACTATAGCTGCAGATGCTTAGTAAGTAGCTCTCCAAAAAAAATTATACATATTGCCATTTTGGATTCAAAGATAATTCGGTCCAACATGCTTCGTTCAGATGCCAACTACGAGAGTACTTGATAAAGAAGTAAAGATTTGTTACATGAATTTTTGTAGTTTTTTTTTAATTGAGGTAAGAATAAGCTACTAACAGATCTGCAGCTATTTTTACTATGGATATACGAAGGAAAAGTAATTATATCTTTTGTCTTGGGCAAAATATCTAGCAAAAATCTGTTTCTTTTTTAACCTGTGGATAGATCGAAAAGAGCATGTATTTGTGATTTATGCCCCCGTACTTGTAGATTCGGGGTATATGGCACAGGCACTTGTTACGGAAATAAATTTTATCTATCTACGAATTACACGTACCCCCCTCCTCAGAAACGCACTCATTTACGCTTTCAGACAAAATGCACTGCATGGCAAACTTCTTTAAAAGTCACTGTCTAGTTAGTATAGTATGCCAGGGCATCAACAATTGTGGGAAACATGGGATAATTTGCATAACGAGCGAAGCCCGTTATGCATTAATTATCCCATTTTTCCCACTATGGTTGATGTCTCTGCCATAATATACTAACTAGTCAGTGATTCCGTATATTTTCATTTCATTGTAAAATAAAATTGTAGATTGAGACTTTAAAATGAAGATATAGATTTAAATTACACGAGGACTCCCATGTCAATTTCAATAGTTCTTGCCACCAGACGTCAAACACAAAGACAGCCGCAAGAGATTTTACTTGCACATTTGGCCTCCATGTAGCGTCGAACACAAACACAGACGCGCAAGAGATTTACATGCATATTAGGCCTCCTAAGCTCCTGGCTAAGAAATCATCTCCAGAGAAAAAAATTAGAAATGAAAATATTTCTTTTTCTTTTCTTTGATAGCGGATTATTCATCTTCGCTATCCAAGGGTTTTCAGTCCGCACCGTTTATGGGGAGCGGCTAGCGAAGATGTTGCCATGAAGGAAAGGTTCTTTTATAGGATAGCTTCTGAAAGGAAGACAGATTATCAAAGAAAACTGGCAGCTAAAAAAGGTAAAAAAAAAAAACGTTCAGAAAAAGTGTTGGGAGAGGGCACCCCTCTAATTATATGTACCCCACCCCAAATTTTATCATTTTATTTTCTAATATTAGTCAATGTATAGCCCGTAAAATAGCTCTCCAAAAACTAATTGTATCAAGTTGGAATTCCCCGATCGGTTTTAGATCAATTTACCAAAAATCCTTATCATGCTTATATATTCGCCTGGAAACTCACGTGCTTGTTAATATAACGTAGTATTTATTCTACATTGTTGGATATCAGCCAATAAGAAAGATAGGAGTCGTTGAATCATAATAAAAGAATTTATTTTCTTTACACGGTTCTAAAAATAAATGGGGAAAACTCAAATTGATACAAAATAGTTTTGGAAAGCTATTCGTTAGCTTCCGATTTCCAATCAAGTGAACATAACATTAGTGAATATATACGTGTATTTTGGGGGTGAAGGTAGTTGAGGGGGGGGGGGGTTCTGGGTGCAAGAGAGCCATCACCATTTTTTTCGGAAAGTTATTACATTTTCTTTTAATTTAGACTTCAATATCTAATGAAATGCTGTTTCCCCCACTAATGTGTCTTAATCCCCAACGATAACCGTACCTTATCTCTAAAAGTTAAAAGAAATCTTTTTTGTTGTAACTTCAAAATATTTTACAGCTGGTAGATGTACTCTTCCAAAAAATGCATTAAATGAATCAGTCAAAACAAAGAATATTCAAAAACAGCTCACAGACACAAAAGGGTCACATTATCGATAACATGTTTGCATATAAGAACATAGAAATAGGAAAAAAAGGTGACTTGACCCCATATTTAAAAAGAAA